GTCCAGTAGATGTGCCAGTGTGCTGGAGGCTGGGGTGTACACTGAGGCATAATGTGATGCCAACATCTCCGCTTTGTCCTCATCTTTTTCGGCTAGTGCCCCATCTTTGGCGAGAGTTGGGAGACCAGCCGTTGCTCTGATTTTTCGCCTGAGGTAGGCATACAATCGCTTTGGTGCTTGTACTGAATCCGCTGCTAGTCGTTCCTCGAATCTGGTTCTCTTGCATTTTTTTAGTGCAGTACAATAATTCCGAATACCTCGATATTCCTCATATCGTGCGCCTGTCACACGATACCTGGACCAGGCTTTATTTCGCCGCCGGAGGCACGCCCGCAGTTTTCGGTCAAACCACGGCGGGCCCATAGCGTGTGTTCGGTGGCGGTGAGGTGGAGAGAATTCCAGTATGAGTTGCTGGATTCTATGACGACCCAACTCCCAGGATACATCCACATCCTCAGGGTTCCGAGAATCCCAATTTGTGAGCGATGCAGCCTGATGCATATCCGGAAAGGATGAGCACCACACATTCCGTCCGTCCTGTGGTCTGGCCGTTTGGGGTACGCCACGCCTCCAGTGTATACGCAGAACTGAGTGATCACTAGATGCAATTGGTGGTCGTATCTGATTGCCTCGGCGAAAATACCAGGTCAAGGATGGATCTTTGATCACCAACTCTCCGCGTGGGCACATGAACATGCTGAACAAGCGACAGGGCCCGGACAGCGAAAAGAAGTTCTCTGGAACACAAATCTGCCTGCTGAGAGCAGATGTCAATTTCCTAATCAACATGGGGCGCGTTGAAATCACCCAAGACAAGACATTGTCCATCGCAGACGTACCTCTGCATGCTGGCCAGCAGCTCTGGGATGTATACAGCTGGTGTGCGGTAAATCACTCCAACTGTGGTATACCCTCCGGCACAAAGCTTGATTCTGCACTACAGGGCTTCTCCGAATCCCTCCGGATGGGCGTAATTCTCCAGCACTCGAACAGGGAGACCCGAGCGAACAAAAAGAACAACTCCACCACCGCGACATGACGATGATCGATCCGTTCAAAGCACTGTGTATCCGTGGAGTGATATTTCGGAGTCCCGGACATCCGATGTCAGCCAGGTCTGTGATTGCAAAAATATCGGGATTGCGGGATACAACCCAGTCCTCGAGCTTGTCCTTTTTTCCCAGCATCCCTCGGGTATTGGTTGAGGCTAGCACAGCGTGGTTTCCTAGCCATTCGCACCTCAAGCTAATCCCCCCGTCCGTGGTTAAACAGTCTCTTGGGTCCTCCCCCCGACCAATGGCAGCCAACGCGATTGAGGGCGCTTCCGATGCACACGAAAATCCCGTACAAACCGATCAGTTTCCCCTCTTGCACGGCGCTCCCTGAGTTCTTCTAATGCAGTTTTTAATTTACTACGCTGGTCCGGATCAAGACCCCTGAGAAATCGCACCTGAGGCCACATATGACAGAGCGCAAATCCCTCAAACGCCAGCTCAGCAAGAGTCTGAGGAATGACCGCGAGAAGCGGTGGATAAGAAAATGTAGAGAGATGGAGAAGGCTGCGGCTATCGGTAATGGTCGCAATCTTATCCGTCTAATTAGGAATACGGGCCCCAGGAAAATAGGCATGAGGTAATTAAGGAATCCGATGGCACACTGATTCACGATCAGCAACGCCGTCTTGATTGATGGGCTGAACATTTCGAGGATCAGTTTAACTGGCTCCCCATCAATATTTGAACTACCACCCTTCACCGTGACTGCGCAAATACTCCCAGTTGATGCCAGTCCTCCATCTGAAATGGATGTTTCCCGGGGAATAAGCTATCTCAAAAGGCATAAGGCCTCAGGCCCAGGCGGGTTTTCCCCATCAGTTTTTAAGGATGGAGGTTTAGCATTGGTTTCGGAGTTAACGAAACTCCTGGGGTCAGTGTGAGAGAGGGAACAGGTTCCAGCTAATGGTATGAATCGGCGATCATACCGATTTCCAAGAAAGGTGACAGATCCTCCTGTGAAAACCCCAGAGGAATTAGTTTAATCAACATGATCATTAAAATTCTCGCTGAGGTTATACTTCTTTGGTTATCTGCCGCACGCGAACGGTGTACGCGTGAGAACCAGGCTGGTTTTAGACCTGGTCGAGGTTGTATCGACCAGATCTTTACTCTTCGACAAACTCTTGAGCCCCAACGTTCTTTTCGTAGCCCCGCCATGTCTGTCTTTCTAGACCTGAAAGCGGCCTTCGATTCAGTCGACCGCTCTAGACTCAGGAGCTGCCTTTCCCTGAAGGGTGTGCCCGAGAAGTTTATTTCAATATTACGATCCCTCTATACTCATAGCCGAAGCCGAGTCCGAGCTTACAGCATTTTTTCGCCCGAGTTCACCTCGGAAAGTAGTATTCAACAGGGTTGTCTTCTCTCTCCGTTTCTATTTAATTTTGTTAGAGATTTGATTATGGAAACAGCCCTATCCTCGTGCGAGGATAGTGGCATCGATTTACTCCCAGGTGGCAGACTGTGTGATCTGGAGTACGCAGAGGACATTGTGCTACTGAGTGAAGATCCATGTAAGTTATAAGCTTTTCTGGAAGGTTTGAATGCTAGTGTAGCCATGTTCGGTATGCGTTTTGCACCTTCAAAGTGTAAAATGCTACTACAAGACTGGGTTGGTCCAGCATCTCTCTAACTGGGGAAGTAATAGAGCAGGTGGATAAGTTTTGTTATTTGGGCAGCTACATCTCATTCGGTGGACGCATCACGGATGAAGTGTTAGCTCGCATACAGAAGGCTCGGTTGGCATTTGCCAACTTGAGATATCTGTGGCTCCGTCGTGACATCCGGCTGTCTGTGAAGGGTCGAGTGTATGCCGCGACAGT